GACACTTGGTACCGTGACATACAGGTTCAGTGGCCCCAGGTCCAGGCACCAGGTCACGAACTCAGGTCCTGACTAAGGTCCGGACCTCAGGTTCCCGGAAATAGGTCCATGGACCCCTGGTCCGGACCTCACCCTGTCCACACACCTTCAGGTCCGGAACCCTCAGGTATCAGACATATGTCAGAACCTCAGGTTCAGGACCTCAGGTACGGACCTCAGGTCCGGACGGACCGCAGGTCCGGACGACCCCAGTCGGCCCAAGAGTCCCAGGGGCCCACGGTCTGGACACCAGGTCTTGGGCCCCAGGTCCGGACCTCAGGTCCGGACCTCAGGTCCGGACCTCAGGTCCCGGACCTCAGGTCCGGATCTCAGGTCCGGACCTCAGGTCCGGGCCCACGGTCCAGGCCCCAGGTCTGGGCCCCAGGTCTGGGCCCCAGGTCCGGACCTCAGGTCCGGACCTCAAGTTTGGGTCCCAGGTCTGGGGTCTGGGCCCCAGGTCCAGACCTCAGGTCCGGACATCAGGTCCAGTCCTCAGGTCCGGGCCCCAGGTCCGGACCCCAGGTCTGGACCCCAGCAGGTCCAGGCCCCAGGTCTGGGCCCCAGGTCCGGACCTCAGGTCCGGACCTCAGGTCCGGACCTCAGGTCTGGGCCCCAGGTCTGGATTTCAGTTTCGGACCCCAGGTCTGGATCCCAGGTCCAGGCCCCTGTCTGGGCCCCACTTGGGTGGACGTGGGGGTTGTTCACTTTTGCAGCGGTTCTTGAGGATTGACCCTATGTAACTGCATGGCCCGCAAGGGTTGTCATTGACTTACTAACATGCTTAGCTGTCCCTCTGACATGCAACCTAGGGACAGAGCTGCATGCGCGTGTAAACGCGACTACCGGAGAGAACTTGGAGGTAATTGAGGAGTTTTATAGCCTCATGCTGGCCGCCATGTCATCTCAGGGCCTGGCGCTCGTGTCAAATTCCAGTGTCCTCGTACACGGAGAGCCCAAGATATTGCTAATCACCGCCACCCAGACGACATCAACCACAGCAACGACATCAGCAACGGCATCAGCAGTGTCACAACTCATTGCCGACACGGAGAAAACGGCGACCATCGATTTTTTGTTTATTGGCATTATAGCTGGTGCGGTCGTTGTTCTGTATAGCTGTTGCGGTCGTTGTTCTGTGTTGTTGCGTTCAAGCCTTATGCTTCTTAGGAACCGCCAGCACCGGAAGTCCGAAGAGGACTTGGAGGCTGTGCCCCGAAATGATCTCGAGCACGGGACGCCTGAGGACATTATATGGGTTGCGCCGGGGGCATCCCCAAGGCGCATCCCTCTGCCGAGCGGCGGCCCCACGTTGGCGCGCAGCTTGTCACGTGGTGGATCGACCGGAGTATCGCCTAGGTCAAGCGGGATCGGAGCATCGCCTAGGTCAAGCGGGAATCGCAGTCCGTCGGCTGCCTCACGCAGTCGTTCGGCTGTCTCACGCTCCTCCTCCCAGGCCTCAAGGGTAGCGATTTAGTGCTTCGTTGCGACGGCGAGAACCCCGTCGCAGAATGCAGCACTCCATCGCAACAATATTGAAGATCTTGTACGCGATGAATTCAGATCTATAGTTGTTTTTTCCGCAGTCGTCGCCCGATTTACAGGCTATTCAACCGAAGACCCCTCGCTTCTTATGTGTTTGAAGTTTAATGATGGGTGCGATGTATGGGGTGCGGTCCCTGTTATATACATATAACGGCGCACCGGGTCCGGGGGCCCGGGGCCGGGACCCCGACCACAAATGTGGGCCCCGGGGGGCCCGGAGGCTCGTCGGACCGCCGGACGCCGTCCAAGATCGTTCGCAGGCGGCTTCGGAACGCTCTCCGATGGCTCCAGATGCCTTCCAAGACGCCTGTCATGACACCAAGAAGGTCCCAGAAGCCTCCAAGACGCTCCGAGAGGCAGCCCAAGAGAGGCCCAAGAAGCAAAAATCGTGCCATTCCTATGGGAAAACGTATATTTTTCGCATGTTCTCCCGGAGGCCCCTAGGCCGTCTTGGAGGCCTCTTGGGCCGTCTTGGACGCGGTTGAAAGCCCAAAATGCGAACATGCGAAAATATACGTTTTCCCATAGGAATGGCACGATTTTTGTTTCTTGGACCTCTCTTGGGGTGCCTCTCGGAACGTCTTGGGGTGCTTTTGGGAGCCTTTTTGCGCCTCTTGGCGGCATTTTGGCGCCTCCTGGAGCCTCTTGGGCCGGAAGCTCGGATTCGAGGTTGGCTTTCTCCGTTGGGACCCCTCTCGAACTCGTCTTGGGGCTCTCTTCGCCGTCTTGGGGCCGTCCTGGGCCACTCGCGCGCAGCCTTGGAGCGCTCCCGGAGGCCTCGTAGACCGTCTTGGGCGCTATTGTCTTGGGCCGTCTTGGACAAGAGAGGTCCAAGAAACAAAAATCGTGCCATTCCTATGGGAAAACGTATATTTTTCGCATGTTCGCATCTTGGGCTTTCACCGCGTCCAAGACGGCCCAAGAGGCCTCCAAGACCGCCCCAAGACGGCCCAAGAAGCTTCCAAGAGGGCCCCAGGACAGCCCAAGAGGGCCCCAAGACGGCCCAAGAGGCGCCCAAGATGGCCCAAGAGGGCCCCAAGACGGGCCCAAGAGGGGGCCCAGAGGGGGACCACGAACCGCAAGCTCGAGCCTTCCGCCCCAAGAGGCCGCCAGGAGGCCCCAAGGAGGCCCCTCAAGAGGCCCCAGGAGACCCCCAAGAGGCCCAAAGGAGGCCCCGAGAAGCCCCAAATCGGCCCCCAAAATGCTTCGAACCTGCTTCCAGGAGGCCCCCGACAGGTTCAGAGGCTCCCGAGAAGCTACGTCAAACTCCCAGCGAGCGGCCGGACGAGGCCCCCCACAAAATCACAAGAGGGTTCCAGTATTTGTATCCTTCAGCGCTCTCTGGCCTTCTTCCCCCTGCCCCCTTCCCTGCGACTTTCGTTGACTCAAGCTCGCCTCCTAGCTAGAACCTAAGCGCGCGCGAAGCGCGCGCGTGTTTGGCGTTTTTTTTTTTCGTCCAAAATCCCCCTGTAGGGGGACAGGCCCGACCTAAGAATATATTAGTGCCTGGACCAGGGACAAGCATGTCCACATCCACCGCTCGCCAAGGTCTCGCAGAACAGGCGGTGGTGACGGATCAATCCCCGCCTCGCACAACCGACCGCAAACGTTGTTGGAGCCCCCTCCCCTGTCGGTGTCGCCCCCCCCCCCCCTTTGCCCTCCTGCATGTTGATTCAGCTTGAGGCGCGTTCTGGGGGCGGGTGGTTGGGCAGATCTTACGCTGCCCAGCATCGAATAAGCGGGGGGGGCATCAAGCACATCGCGCTCAATGCATCAAGCCCGGACGCGCAGATGCATTGGCAGTTCACGCAGCCAGCTCCTGACACAGATCAGTGCTGTCGAGGCGTGTCGTGGAAGGTCTCGGCGGCCCCGGCCCTTCTGCGGAGCCCCTGCCCTCTCGGAGTCGAGGGTCAGCATGAACGGCAAACGGAAACTGTCGGAGCTCAGCGCGGACTCCTCGGGTCGCCGCTGTGCCCGCCCTGGTGGCGCCGGCGGCGCATCCGCCGCCGCCTGGTGCGCTCCGCGCGCCGGGAGAGCGGGGTCCAGCGCCCTTCGAGAAATCCGCGCAGACCCCGAGCATGCGCAAATACATATGTATGTAGATGTGTGCGCATATATGTATGTATGTCTGTCTGTCTGACTGTGTGTATGTATGTATGCATATATATATATATATAGATGTATGTGTATACGTATGTATGCATATGTGTGTATGCATGTATGCATGCATGCACGCATGTATGCATGCATACATGTATGATTATGCATGTATGATTATGCATGTATGTATGTATGTATGGATGGATGGATGGATGGATGTCTGTATGTATGTATGTGTATATATGTATGTATGTATGTATGTATGTTTGTATGTATGTATGTATGTATGTATGCATGTATTTATGTATGTATGTATGTATGTATGTATGTATGTATGTATGTATGTAAGCATGCATGCATGCATGCATGCATGCATGCATGTATGTATGTATGTATGTATGTATGTATGTATGTATGTATGTATGTACGTATGTATATATGTATGTCGGTATGCATGCATGCATGCATGAATGTATGGATGTATGACTGTATGTATGTATGTATGTATGTATGTATGTATGTATGTAGGTTTATGTATGTATGTATGTATGTATGTATGTATGCATGCATGCATGCATGCATGCATGCATGCATGCATGTATGTATGTATGTATGTATGTATGTATGTTTGAACGTGATTGTGTATGTATGTATGTGTATATGAATGCATCTATGCATGTATGTATGTAGGTGTGTATGCATGTATATACATACATGGGGGATTCCGACCCCGGGAACCCGCAGGGCCCCCCCCTTGTACATAGGTAGTGCCCCCCTCCCAGGAGCCCTCCGGGACCCGCCCCCGAGGCTCAGAGCAGCCCTAAATCCGCCCAAGATTGTTTACAGATGGCCCAAGAGCTCTCCAAGACGCACCAAAAGGACCCCAAGAGCGCTCCAAGACAGCCCAGGAGGCCACCAAGGGTGCCCGAGAAGCTTCCGAAAAAGGTCCTCGACAAATTCGAATCTTTCACAAACCAGCGGGAAATCTATATTTTTGGCCTCAGAGGCCCTCAAGACGGCCCAAGAGGCCTCCCAGAAGGTCACCAAAAGGCAAAACAGCCAAATTCCTTTCGGAAAACGTAGGTTTTAAGCATATTCGCTTCTTCGGTCCTAACAGCGCCCAAGACGGACCCAAAGGCCCCAAAGACGGCCGTAAGACGATCCAAGAGGACCCCAAGAGGGCCCCAAGACGGCCCAAGAGAGCTCCAACACGGCCCATGAGAGCCTTCCGTAGCCATTTTGGCTCAAGCCATTTTGGCTCAAGCGCGAGCAGCGCACGGACACGACAGCGCATGGTTCAGAGTCCTATATCAGCGGGTATGCCAGGTGAACTGTCGGACATGCCGTTGCAGCCAGGCATCGTTAAATTCGAGTTCGCCATGGGCGCGCACGGTCTCGTTTGGACCCAGGGAACTACCATTGTGGAGCGCGTGTCGTGCCAGGCCCGATTCTTGGGCGTGCGGCCAGGCTGGAGCATCAGCATGGTCAACGGCATGCCTATCACTGACAGCGTCACGTGCTGGCATGAGTTGCAGAAGTGCAAGAAATCTGGCCTTAGGTACAGTGCTTCTTTTCTCAAAGACGAGGCCTCAATCCGAGAAGATCTGACGAAAGCGGAAGCCGAGCGCCAGAAGAGGGCGACGAAGGCCGCAGAGGAGAGGCTGGAGCAGCAGGCCAGGGCCACCGCGGCGGCGGAGCGACAGAGGCAGGCGAGGAAACGCTTGGAGATGCTGCGCAAGGACTTCGAGTCGGAGATCGAAGAGGCGAGGGCGTTGGCAGAAGGGAAAAAGAGCGGAGGCCAGAGAACGCGCGCAGCAGTCAGACGATTTCGCGCTGGATGAGCTGAAGAGGCTGATGGCGCAGGTCGCGGCGATCGAGACCCAGAATGCGTGGATTCTGGACGCTGTGGGCAAGATCGCGGGCGCCGGGCTGACCGCCAAGTTCCGAGCCGCGCGGATATCGGCGGAGATCCAAGAGACGCAGGTCACATGTTTCATGACTCTTGTTGAGCAGCTATACGCGCAGAAGCCCGGTACGATCCTGGACGAGCTACTCGACAACCTGAAGGAGACTGGGCCTGCGGGCGACGCGACGCCGTTGCAGATCCAGCTCCTCGCAGAGGTGTGCAAGCGGCTGCGTGACAAATCCTTTGCGAGTCACTGAATGAGGACTTGCAGGACGAATTGCTGGCCATCGCCACTTGGGCTCTGTATGCCATGAAGGACGTCGACATCGACGGGTTGTTTTGCTTTGAAGACGCCCCAGAACTGCCAGAGGGCCTGGGAGAGCCCGCCCTGCGCGACGAGTTCTACAGCGAGCACAGGCAGAAAGTAGGCGGAAAGCGAAATCCACAAATTTTCCAGGTGGCGAACTGGGCCTCCCGCGTCTGCTTCGACAGCGCTGGCGACCGGCAGGGCGCCCTGGGCGGCCTGAGAGCATGGATCCGGCGGGTGTGTTTCTTGGGGCTCTCGGCGAAGACGCTCGAGTAGCCCGCGGTTGTAACGCGCGGCCTGTGCGGCCTGCCCAGCTCCATAGTCGATGGCTTCAGAGCCAAGGCCGCTGGCGACCGTTTCTTCTGGGCGGCGCCCTCCAGCACGACAGTCGACGCCTCGATCTCCGAGGCGCGCTGCAACCAGCAGGCGCACAAGAAAAACAACGTGCTCTTCGCCATATCCGGCATCACCCACGCCTCCCCGATGATGGAGCTGAGCGCGTATCCCGGGGAGCGCGAGTGGCTTCCACCTCCGTTCACCGCGCTGGATGTGGAGCGCGTGGTGGACGGAGCCCCGCTGCAGCTGCACTGCAAGTTCGGGGGCTGCATGCTCACCTCTGCCTTCCGCGAGGAGGTGCGGGGCGACTTTAAGGCCGCCTCGAGGCGGCTGAGCATGCGGCGCGCGGAGTCGCAGCGGAATGCAGCGGAGATGCGCGAAGACCTGGCCAATTTGTTGGAGTGGGCGAAGTCGACTCGGGCGAAGACCCGAATGCGAATCGAGAGTATATTTCAAGAACCGCGTCCGGAGGAGTATCTCCACATCATCAAGAAGTGGGAGGAGAAGGAGTGTCTCCTCACGGCGGAACTGGCCGAAGCTAAGGAGTGGGCGAAGTGGTTTCGGGAGAAGGAGCTGAATTCGGCCAGACTGCGCTTCCAGCAAATAGCGCGTCAACTGCAGATACCGCCAGGGACGGGTATGAGGGCAGAGTATGAGTCGTCAACTGAGTCGTTAAAGCGTCAACTGGACATACCTGATAGTCTGAGGGAAGAGTATGAGTCGTTAGAGAGGAAGATCCATCGCCTCGAGACGGTGACCGGGGACGAGGGGCACGGCACTCGGTTCAACGCGTGAGGCCCCGCGCCAGCCAGACCCTTGGAACAAAAAAGGTAGCGTCGAGCACGCAAGGCGCCCCTTTGGATGTCTGGGTGTACGCGCCTGCGCGCCCGATCGCTTCCGGCAGCTTGCCTGCCGTCTTGGAGGCGCCCGCCCCCTCGCCACGCCCCCGTCTTCGCGCCGCCGCGTGCTGGATGTTGTCCTTTTTGCGCAGTGCACCGCGAGGGCATCGCTCGACCCATCATTTTTAAAGGGGCCTCGTTCGGTCCGTCTTTGTTAGCATCCATGGTTGCGCTTGCCCTGGGTCGGCCCCTGGCGAGCGTAGTGAACCAAAGTGGCCGTGCTGGGCCCACCCCCAGGAGCACCCTCTCCTAGAATCGCTGAGTCCGCTTTTCTGGACGTCGCAGTGTCGCGGGCAAAAAGGCTTTGCGCAGCAACAGGGGAAAGGGTTCGCGAGGGCAGAAAGACGGGGGGATCACGAACCGAACGATTGAAGTTCAAAGAGGAAAAAGTTTTTAACCGGCCCAAGATAACGAGACGTCGAAACACATACCATCCTTGATCTTCGGTGATCGAGGGCACGGGCACCTTGTGGCAGGTTTAGCAATTTTTGCCGACGCCGACACCTGTTATACAGTTGCGCGACGGCCAGGTAGGAGGCACGACAAGGAACGATCAGGAGTTCTGGGCGCAGGCGGGTAGGCACTCGCTGGCACGGAAGCCGGCGTGCCTACCTTTGCGCCGCCTTGGGCGCGCCGCTTGGAAGGGAAAGGGGTGTGTGTGGGAGGGGGAAGAGGTTCGATCCGAAAACGTCCAAACATATCCCCTCCTGGGTCCTCGACGGTCGAGGGCATGCGCAACTCTGGGCAGGTTTAGTATTTTTTGTCGTTGCCGACACCTGTTGCTCGACGGCCAGGTAGGAGGCGCGACAAGGAACGATCAGGAGTTCTGGGCGCAGGCGGGTAGGCACTCGCTGGCACGGAACCCTGCGTGCCTTTGTCGGCGCTCGCCCGTTGCCAGAACATGGTTTTGCGCCGCCGTGGGCTCGCCGCTTGGAGGGGGAAGGGGGTTGGGGAGGGGGAAAAGGTTCGATCCGAAATCGTCCAAACATATCCCCTCCTGGGTCCTTGACGGTCGAGGGCACGCGCAACTCTGGGCAGGTTTAGCATTTTTTGTCGTTGCCGACACCTGTTGCTCGATGGCCAGGTAGGAGGCACGACAAGGAACGATCAGGAGTTCTGGGCGCAGGCGGGTAGGCACTCGCTGGCACGGAAGCCGGCGTGCCTACCTTTGCGCCGCCTTGGGCGCGCCGCTTGGAGGGGAAAGGGGGGGGTGTGGGAGGGGGGGGAGGTTCGATCCGAAAACGTCCAAACATATCCCCTCCTGGGTCCTCGACGGTCGAGGGCACGCGCAACTCTGGGCAGGTTTAGTTTTTTCCCCCATATCCTAAGATTGGGTTCTTGTTATTACTTGGACGCCTCCTACTCCTCCTCCTTCCTCCTCCTCTTTTCTCCTCCCCCCCTGTCGGGCTTACTCATACTCAGACTTGCTCAGACACAGACTTACTCATACTTACTCATACTCAGACCTACTCATACTCAGACTTACTCACACTCAGACATACTCATACACAGACTTACTCATACACAGACTTACTCACACCCAGCCGTACTCATACACAGACTCACTCATACCCAGACTTACTCATACACAGTATTAGTCATACTCAGAGTTACTCATACCCAGACGTACACATACACAGACTTTCTCATACACAGACCTACTCATACCCAGACTTACTCATACACAGACTTACTCATACACAGACTTACTCATACTCAGCACCCCTAAGGGGAGCCGCCAGGGGTGGTTGCACGGGCTCGTTCGCGGCCATTTTGTGGGGATGTCTCAGGCGGTTTGCTTGTTTCTGTGCCCAACATCCTTCGCTTTCGGAGCAGATTTGGAGGATGTCTCGAGCGAGGCGCTCATTTCAGCACCCCTAAGGGGAGCCGCCAGGGGTGGTTGCACGGGCTCGTTCGCGGCCATTTTGTGGGGATGTCTCAGGCGGTTTGCTTGTTTCTGTGCCCAACATCCTTCGCTTTCGGAGCAGATTTGGAGGATGTCTCGAGCGAGGCGCTCATTTCAGCACCCCTAAGGGGAGCCGCCAGGGGTGGTTGCACGGGCTCGTTCGCGGCCATTTTGTGGGGATGTCTCAGGCGGTTTGCTGTTTCTGTGCCCAACATCCTTCGCTTTCGGAGCAGATTTGGAGGATGTCTCGAGCGAGACGCTCATTTTCACCCCCCAGGTGGGCCAGATTTTGAGGATGTCTCGATCGGTTTGCTAGTTTTGGTGGCCAGGCTCGTGGGCGCAGATTCTTCTCAGGATGCCACAGGAGGCTCCAACAGGCTCCAGGAGGCTCCAGGAGACCACATGAGGTCCCAGGAGGCATCAGGAGGCCACAGAAAGACTCAAGAGGCCACAGGATGTCCCAAGAGGCTCCAGGAGGCCCCAGGAAACTCCAGAAGGCTTCAGGAAACCACAGGAGGCCCCAGGAGGCAACAGGAAGCGCCAGGAGGCCTCGGAAGGCAACAGGAGGCCCCGAGAGGCCCCAGGAGCAGGAGGCCTCAGAAGGCAACAGGAGTGGCTCCAATCCCATGTGTTGTACGTATGCTCCTATCGATTGGGCCTCACCTGGAGCACGATTATTTGATGTTATACGTATGTTTATATAGATGGTCCTTCTCCTGTGTACACAATCCTAAATGTTTTACTCATGTTCCTATGTATTGGGCCTCTCCTGGGGCACGAGTCCTTGGTGTTTTACGCGTGTTCCTATAGATTGCCCTTCTCCTGTGGCTCTAATCCTCCGTAGCCATTTTGGCTCAAGACCCAATGCTTGGGAGGCTGCAAGCCTCCTGGCCGACACGGGATAGCTCTGTTTCCCGAGCTCGACTCTCAGCGGCGCGCGCGGCGGCTCCCATAGTTTTGGCACTTATAACACAGTGCGTGCCCCGGCCATGGCACCTCAGTGGCAGTGCGTTTGTGGAGAGTACCACGCGGCTGACCGCACTCGGTGCACCAAGGCGGGGTGCGGAGGCATGCGACCTCGCCTGCCGCGCGGAGCAGGGCAGCATCAGCCGTGGCAGCTTCGTCAGCCTCCCACCCGCGGCAAGTGGGCCAACTCGCCGCCGAGCAACCAGTGGGGTCTCAACGGCAAGCTCTTCAAAGGCAAGAGTGCTGGAGGCGACAAGTGCTCCACGGGCACGTCCCTCAGCGCGGAGGAGGTCAAGGTCTGGGCCGCATTCTCGCAGGAGACATGGGACGCGACGAAGCACGCCCTCACGCAGTCATCTCGTGGGAAAGTGGACGCTGCTCGCCGTGCTCAGTCTCTTGGCCTGGTGGGGAAGTCGGCACCTCAGAAAGTGGATGGGCTTGCTCGGCAGCTTGCTGACGCTCAGGATCGACTCAAGCGCGAGTCCGCGGTGGCTCGCAAGGCGCTGGAGCAGGTGCACACGACCAAGTTGGGCATCGCGCAGCTGCAGCAGGAGCTCGCAGATGCCAAGCGCGAGGCTGCCGCACTCTACGGTGGAGGCATCAGCCCCGACGCGATCAAGGAGAAGCTCAGCACGCTCAACACCGACGGAGTCTCTGGCCAGGATCTCCTCGAGCAGCTCTCCAAGATGGTCAACGAGCTCGCCGAGGAAGCGAAGGCAGCTCGCCCGCAGGGCGGATCTCCTGCCGCAGCAGGCGGCGCTGTGCCCGCCCCCGAGCCAGCTGAATCTCAGCCTGGCGGAGGCGAGGCCCCAGCGGCGCCAGCAGCGGGGGCGGCGCCAGCCGAGGACTTCGACGACTTCCTGGGCGAGGATGACCCTGGTGGGCTTCTTGGCAGCTGTGGTGATGATGACGAGCAGCGCAAGAGGATCCGCGACGCCCTGGAGGTCTTGCGGTCCGTCAAGAAGCCACGAACCTCAGGGTAGCCGCCCTCGCGGGCGCTGGTGGGCAGCTCTCTCCATCAACGCCAACGCCTACAGCAGGTTCGAGGGCATTCTCAACTACGTAGGTCTCAGGAGCTGCGACCTGGTTGCGGTCCAGGAGACGCACCTTTCCCAGGAGAGGTGCTGCGAGGTCACAGACAAGCTACAGAGGCTTGGCTGGCATGCGGTGGCCACTCCAGCCACCGACGTGGCTGCGGGGCATGCAGGTCACGGCGGCCTCTTGCAGTTGGCGCCCAGGTCCTCGGGCCTCGGCGAGTTCGAAGCGGGGCAGCCGACGGTGCTCACGCCAGGACGCGCGGCAGTCGTGCATGTAGCTGGCCCCTTCCCTGGGGGACTAGCTTGGTTCAGCGTCTACTTGAAGGTTGGCGTCGGCCTCTCGGCCTACAACCTCAGCATTTTGGACGGCATCGCGATGGCTGTGCGCGCCATCGGCAAGCCCTTCGTGATCGCGGGGGACTTCAACATGGAGCCCCACGAACTGCAGTGCTCGGGCTTCCTCGAGCGCGTCGGTGGCAGGGTGGTGTCGCCAGCGGACGGCACTATTCGGCCGTCGGGCAAGGTGATTGACTACTTTGTCGTCTCTCACGTGATCTCGGAAGCGCAGGCGGAGATCAAGCTTGGGTGGGATATCTCTCCACACTTCCCTGTCGAGCTCAGGTTCAACGCCAGCTCGGTCAACAGGTTCATGCAAGTCATGAAGGTTCCCAAGAAGTTTCCGTATCCTCTCCCCAAGGCGTGCTGCACCGAGGACCACTCCCAGAGGTGGGCGGAGGCGCGCGGCCGCATGGCGACCACCTCCTCGCTGGACATCATGTGGCAGATCTTCATTCACAGCGCGGAGCGGTACTTGCTGGACGCCATCGGCCTCAAGCACGAGTATCACGAGTTTGCTGGGCGTGAGCGGCGTCCTAGGCTGGCCTTAGTCAGGGTGTTGCAGCCGTCGGCGCCCAGGCTGCCGAGGGTGACAGCCACCGCGTCCTGGTGCAAGAGCGTAGCCATCGCGCTCAAGGACGCAGCTCAG